GTAGTAGTAGTAGTAGTAGTAGTAGTACTGGTCGTAGTAGTAGTAGTAATCAAGCAGTGGCGAAGCGTCTTGGCTCGCCTATAGCCCTACCAAACAATGCTCCAAGAACCTTTCTGTGGTGTCCACGAACTGTTCTTAGAACATGTCTGGCGGAGCCTGTCTAGTTTTATCACATCGGGCTCATGTTATAAGAATGTTGTTTATGTTGTTAGAACATATTTGGGGTTCTAAGAACATTTCGTGGTAGGACTATAGGGATGCCGGGACGGTCGGTCCCTGCTCGAAGTAATAGTAATTTTAGCCGTAGTAGTAGTAGTCGTAGTAGTAGTAGTAGTAGTAGTAGTAGTAGTAGTAATAGTAGCAGCAGTAGTAGTAGTAGTAGTAGTAGTAGTTGATGTAGTAGTTGTAGTAGTAGTCGTCGTAGCCGTATTCGTGCCATTGGTGGTGGTAGCGTCACTTGTGGTAGTAGCGGTCGTGGTATTATCCGTGGCAGTAGTAGTAGTAGTAGTAGTAGTAGTAGTAGTAGTAGTAGTAGTAGTAGTAGTAGTGGTAGTAGTAGTAGTAATAGTAGTAGTAGTAGTAGTAGTAGTAGTCGTAGTAGTAGTAGTAGTAGTAATACTTGTAGTAGTTGTAGTAGTGATAGTAGTAGTAGTGGTGGTATTTGTAGTTGTTGTTGTATTCGTAGTAGTGGTAATAGTAGTAGCAGTCGTAGTATCAGTAGTGGTAGTCGTAGTAGTCGTAGTAGTAGTAGTAGTAGTAGTGGTAGTAGTAGTAGTAGTAGTAGTAGTAGTAGTAGTGGTAGTAGTAGTAGTAGTAGTAGCAGTAGCAGTAGTGGTCGTAGTAGCAAAAGGAGTAGTCGTAACAGTAGTCGTAGTAGTAGTAGTAGTAGTAGTAGTAGTAGTAGTAGTAGTGGTGGTAGTAGTAGTAGTAGTAGTAGTACTCGTAGTAGTAGGAGTAGTAGTAGTAGTAGTAGTATTCGTAGTAGTAGTAGTAGTAGTAGTAGTAGTAGTAGTAGTAGTCGTAGTAATAGTAGTAGTAGCCGTGGTAGTCGTATTGGTAAGAATAGTAGTAGTAGTAGCAGTAGTAGTAGTAACCGTAGTCGTGGTACTGGTTGTCGCAACAGTAGTAGTAGTAGTACGAGTACTAGTACTAGTACTAGTGGTGGTGGCTGTATCAGAAGTAGTAGTAGTAGTAGTAGTAGGAGTAGACGTCGTAGCCGTAGTAGTAGTAGTAGTAGTAGTAGTAGTAGTCGTAGCAGTTGTAGCAGTAGTAGTGGTAGTAGTGGTAGTAGTAGTGGTTACCGTCGTTCTAGTTGTAGTTGTAGTCGTATCTGTAATACTAGCAGTCGTGGTGGTAGTAGTAGTAGTAGTAGGTAGTAGTTGTAGTCGTCGTGGCAGTAGTAGTAGTAGTAGCAGTAGTAGTGGTAGTATTAGTAGTCGTACGAGAAGTACTAGTAGTAGACGTGGTGGTAGTAGTAATAGTAGTAGTAGCCCCAGTAGGACTAGTAGTAGTAGTAGTAGTAGTAGTAGTAGTAGTAGTAGTCGCAGTCGCGGTCGCAGTCGCAGTCGCAGTCGCAGTCGCAGTCGCAGGCATAGTAGTGTAATTCGTAGTTGCAATGGTGATAGTCGTAGTCGTACGCGTGGCAGGAGTAGGAGTAGTGGTTGCAGTAATAGTAGTAGTAGTAGTAGTAGTAGTAGTAGTAGTAGTAGTAGTAGTAGTAGTAGTAGTAGCATTATTACTAGTAGTAGTCGTAGTCGTAGTAGTAGTCGCAGTAGTAGTAGTAGTAGTAGTAGTAGTAGTAGTAGTAGTAGTAGTAGTGGCAGTGGTAGTGGTAGTGGTAGTAGTAGTAGTAGTAGTAGTAGTAGTAGTAGTAGTCGTAGTAGTACCTCGTGGTGGCGGTCGTTGCAGTAGTAGTGGTTGTGATCGTAGTCATATTAGTTGTAGTAGTCGTCGTCGCCGCCGTAGTAGTAGTCGTGCTAGTAGTACTGGTGGTAGCAGTAGTAGTAGTAGTAGTAGTAGTAGTAGTAGTAGTAGTAGTAGTAGTAGCAGTAGTAGTAGTAGTAGTAGTAGTGGTAGTAGTAGTAGTAGCAGTGGTGGTAGTAGTAGTAGTCGTCGTCGTAGTCGTAGGAGTGGTGGCAGTAGTTGGAAATCGTGTTAATAGTGGTAGTAGTAATAGTCGTAGTAGTGGCACTAGTAGTAGTAGTCCTCGTCGTCGTAGTTGTCGTCGCCGTCCTCCCTCCCTCGTCGTCGTCTTCGTCGCCGTTGTCGTCCTTTGTCTTTCTTCGTCGTCGTCGTCGTCGTCATCCTCTTTGGCGGCGTCGTTTCCGTCGTCATTGTCGCCGTGGTGGTCCCCCCTCCTCCCTCGTCGTCGTCGTCCGTCGTCGGCGTCTCGTCGTCTTCCCTCCTATTTCGTCGCCGTCGTCGTCAACGTCGTCGTCTGCCCTCCCCCTTCGTCGTTGTCATCGGCGTCGCCCCCCTCCCTCCTTCTTCGTCGTTCGCGTCGTCGCCGTCCTCCCTTCTCCCTCGTCGTTGTCGCCGTCGTCGTCCTCCCTCCTCCCTCGTCGTCGTCGTCTTCGTTGGCGACGTCGTCGTCGTCGTTTTCGTCGTCGTCGGCGTCGTCGTCGTCGTTGGCGTCGTCGTCGTCTTCGTCCTCGTCGTCGGCGTCGCCGTCGCTGTCGTCGTCGTCGGCGTCGTCATTGTCGTCGTCGGCGTCGGCGTCGTCGTCGTCGGTGTCGTCGTCGTCGTTGTCGTCGTCGTCGTCCCCGTTGTCGCCGTCGTCGTCGAAGCCGTCGGAGACGTCATCGGTGTCGTCGTAGTCGGCGTCGGCGTGTCGTGGCTGTCGCCGTTGGCGTCGCTGTCGCTGCCAAGTGCCATTTGGTACCCACCGTCACGGTCTCAAGAAGTTGTGCGACCAAGTTGCGGGTGGGAGGGTGGGATAAGAGACTAGACTCTTCCCCCCCCCGGACTTAACGCTTCCCCCTGGGATCGTATAATTTCATTTATGTTCTGCATATTCGTCCATCCTAAATATGAAATCGTACCATCCCAGCCATTCCGGTTTCCCCCCCCTGAGGGTCCCTTTTTTTAATACTAAAAAAACATTATGCGGTGACATTTTTTGTTCTAACATAACACTGTTTCACGAATCCCTTGCAACAAATAGGACGAAGTGCACACGCGCGCGTCGTCGCGCGCGCATGCCGAAATTCTTCAAAAACCTTCGGTTCCGGAAGGATTTCGCAATCGAGTTTCCAAAAAAAACATACAACAACACAGGGTTTCGCAACACTGGTTCGCTAAAAAAGCTTACGCGCGAGCTCTTGCGAAATCTTAAGAAAACCATGAGATTTTAAAGATTTTCACAAAATGCTACCACACGGGCTTCGCGCGCGCGCATGTCGAAATCTGTCGAACGCCCTTGCGCGTGTGCCGTCGCGAGAATCCTCTGCAACAAATGGGACGGGGTGCAGACGCGCGCGTCGTCGCGGGCGTATGCCGAAACCCTTCAGAAACCTTCGTTTTCGAAACGATTTCAAAATCGTGCGTCCAAAAAACCTACAAAAACACAAGGTTTCGCAACACGGGTTTTCAACAAAAGCGTGCGCGCGCGCTCTTGCGTCGTTGTCGTCGTCGTCGTCCTCCCTCCTCCCTCGTCGTCGTCGTCGTCGTCGCCGTGGTCGTCTTCTGTCTTTCCTCGTCGTCGTCGTCGTCTTGGCGTCGTCGTCGCTTCCGTCGTCGTTGTCGCCGTGGTCGTCCTTCCTCCCTCGTCGTCATCGTGCCGTCTCGTCGTTGTCCCTCCTATTTCGTCGCCGTCGTCGTCGTCGTCATCGTCGTGGTCTTCACCCCTCCCTCGTCGTTATCCTCCTCCCTCGTCGTCGTCGTCGTCCGTCGTCGGTGTCTCATCGTCGTCCCTCCTATTTCGTCGCCGTCGTCGTCGTTTTCGTCGTCGTTGTCGTCGTCGTCGTCTTCCCTCCTCCCTCGTCGTTGTCGTCGTCGGCGTCGCCGTCCTTCCTCCTTCTTCGTCGTTGGCGTCGTCGCCGTCTTCCCTCCTCCATCGTCGTCGTTTTTTCTCCTCCCTCGTCGTCCTCGTCGTTGTCGCCGTCGTCGTTTTTTCTCCTCCGTCGTCATCGTCTCCGTTGGCGACGTCGTCGTCGTCTTCGTCGTCGGCGTCGTTGTCGTCGTCGTCGTCGGTGTCGTCGTCGTCGTTGTCGTCGTCGAAAACATTGGAGACGTCGTCGGTGTCGTCGCAGTCGGTGTCGGCGGCGCCGTCGTCGTCGATGTCGCTGTCGTCGTCGGCGTCGGTGTCGTGGCCAAGTGCCATGTGGTACCTACCGTCACGGTCTTGTCTAAAGATGTCTTGCGACCAAGTTGCGGGTGGGAGGGTGGGATGTGTGCACGAGCAGTGGAGAGGACAGCTTCAGGACGGCCAAGATTAATTGCACCACATAGGTTGCACCGCGTAGACTGCAAGAACCTACTGGTTTGCGTCCGCGCTGGCGAACACGTTGCATTTTTTTCGCGACGTCGGATCCCAAGGCCGCTCCCCACGCTTCTGGCCCGCGCAGGACTGACTTCGCCTGCGTACCGCTCCCACCCACCATGTGGGCCTCTTTGTTGCAAACCGTACTCGACAATCCTCTCTCGATGCCAGGTTCATGGCGTGCACACGACATGTCTTCTCGTCTTGGCTTTGCAGACTTGATCATGTGCCCCGCGACGCAGAGAAAAAGGCGCCCTGGGGACGGAGTCGCGATACAGCAGAGTGCCAAACACATGGTGCTCGACTCCGGATGGGAAAAAGGCAGATTCACTAACAAATCGGCGGGCTGCAGTTTGTCCCTGCGCAAGAGAGTATTCAGACGCAGCCATATCCAGCATATATATATATATATATATACGAGCCGCCGAGTGACTTGGCGGGACGTGCGGGAGGGGTGAGGCTTCGGAGCAACTCGTTCGACATACTCGCTATAGTCGCCGACTTCCCCCCCTCCCAGCGCATGCAGGTGGATCATTGGAAGTCGTCGGTCACACGCCTGGCCAGCTGGATACATAAGACCATCCAGAATGCCCCCGCCGGGTGCCCCGTCGTGATAGGAACTGACTCGAATTGCGAGTTCGGCAGGCGCGCGACAGGCGGAGGCGCAGTCCAGCAGACGGCAGATGATGTACACCTCGGCGCCCACAACATAGGCGCAGAGATCTTCACCAGTCAAGAACTATGGAGACTCATGTCCATGGAGGGGCTCGCGGTGGTGGACTCCTTCTGGGCCGCTGGCCCCGCGCACTTCGGACAGGAGAGCGAGCGCACGTCGCATCCTGATCACTTTTGGGCCCCGACTGGGGCCATCTCGTCTACGGTTTCTTGTTGCGCGGTGGGGGGAGCTATGGGGGACTTGCAAAACATTCCGCACGCGTTGCCGAAGGACCACTGCCCTCTGTTGTGGAGGCTGCGCTACGAGCTGCACTTCGGTGTACCCGACACTGAGCTGGAGCCGCGCTGGGATCGCGACTGCATGGCGAAGTTGCTCAGCGACGAAGGCCCACTGGGGCTGATCGGAGAGCTTGAGAGGCGATGCGAGGCTCATGCTACTACATGGAGAAGCGGCTCCCGTCTGGATGACCCGTCTGCGACGTGGATGGACTTGGTTCATGACGTTCGCGAGCCAGCCCTTGAGGATTGCCGAGCAGCAGCGAGTGCTGGGCCCACCGCAGAGCACCGACAGCGTCGAGACGAGATTCTACTCAAGCGTCGCACCCTGGGCCGCAACTGCTTCACTGGTGAAGATCGCATGGCCATTCGCCCGTGTGATCGAAGAATACGTCGAGAGAGATGTCGCCTCGATCGTGAGGATGTTGACCGCGTGTTACGAGAAGCTCAGCATGCCGCTGATCGTGGTCACTCGAGTACCGCGTGGAAGTTGGCTTTCCAGGTGGGTGCAATATATCACGGAGTCCGTCGACGCCGATTCAATGCGCTGTCACACTACCTGCCGACCCCCGACGAGTGGACCGACACCATGCAGGCTGGCGCCCGCGAGGGAGGGTTCTCGGCTGCTCTCGTCCCTGATCCAGAGACCCCCTCGGAGTTCGCGTTGGCACTTCGTGAGCAGGGCGATCCCGATGGCGATTGGAAGCAGCTCAGAGGTCATCCGTCGTCGTCGGCGTACACAGGTTGGACGCAGACGCTGGCGGCTTTGGAGAGGGCGGCGCGTCGTCGCTTTGCGCCGCCTCATTCGGCGCCTGGAGAGATTTGGTTGGCGATCCTGAGAGCGGCCTCCGTCGAGGCCCGAGGAGGCGATGGTCGCCGACCTGCTGCGGACCCAGACCGAGGAGATAGGCCACGACCTCACGTTCCTTGTCCTCGTCTTGCGGAGCGGTTGCAGGCATTGTTTCGCCAGATTCGCATGTCGCGTTGAACTCCCTCGTGGTGGCATTGGTCTCGAACGTTCCACTTGCCCAAAGGCAATGCCAAGCAAGGGACAAAGGCGGTGCGACTGATCCACTGATTCTGCCCTTTTGGCAAAGCGTTGTATAGAGGCATGTTCGCGCGCCACGTGAAGCCCGAGCTGCCGCACCACGCCCAAGGGCATGCGCGCCATCGCTCTCGCCAGGGAGCGCGGCTTGTATCGCGTCTACACCCTCGGAGGCTTCGGAAGCTAGGAGTATCGCACCTTCAGATGCAGAAGGACATGAGCAACGCTTTCCCGCCCACCGGTCATGATACCTTGGCTTCAGTCGTTGGCACCATCGCCCCCGACCTGCAAGATCCGCAGTTTTATCCTACAGAGGCACAAAGAAGCAGTGATGGAGGTTCGAGCAGGAAACGAGACCGCCTACTGTGTTCCTCGGCACGGCGCTGGCATGGGCGACAGCAATGCGCGCGAGCTGTTTTGTGAGGTCGTTTGCACGGCCACTGGGGGACTGGAACCGCACGCTGCAGGCCACTAGCTCGGACTCCCTGCGGGTTGGCGAGACCGAGGTGCCGCTCATTGAGGTGTCGACGCTGATCGAATGCCCGTGCGCCAAGCAGCTCATTGACATATCTATGAGTGACTACGCTGATGATGTCTCTCATACTCGTCCGCTTCCTGACAACAGCCCGTTCCGCGTTGCGGCCCTCGCCTCCGCCTCCAACGCCCTCCTCAATGACAAGTTATCCGAGCTGGGGGGCTTCGCCCAGAACGCCGACAAAGAGGTGGTCCTCCCCGTCTTCGTGGGCTCTGGAGGGCACGCTGCGACGAGGGCCGTCCTGTCTGGGTCCATCTTGAGGTTTCCTGGAGTTCCGCAGGCCCAGACGGAGCATCTTGGGGTCGTCGAACAACTCACGGGGGGCTGAGGGGCTGAGATCAGAGCTCGACTGGATGCGACCCGTTCGGCCCGGTGTAAGCTAAGTAGGTTCTGGAATCAGCACGCGGCCCTCAAGCTGAAGCGCATGGCCTTCTTGGGGGTTCTCCACAGCGCGGCCTGCTCGGGCCTCGAGGCGTACATCTTATGGAAAAAGGCCTACAACAGGCTCGACAAGGTCATCTTGGGGATCGCTGAGGTGGCCCTACGTGGCGTCGCTAGTAGGGTCGGAGAAGGTGAACATGAACGAGTTAGGACACCTAAGGCTTGGATGCTCCAGGGGCGCTTGCGCATTGCAGATGCACGTGCGGAGTTGCTGGTCAGACGCATTCGATACTGGCAGAACCTTGCACGCTACCCTGAGGCGTCGGCGCAGGCAGTTGCGGCCCTGTTCGGTCATTTTTTCCGCTCTACAGGATCGGCCTGTGGTTCTTGAGAATGGTTGGATACATCGTCGTGCGAACCCTTGGGCACTGCAGATGCAAGAAGATATCCGAACGCTCCGCGCCACCCCGCACGGCAGGCAGTTCCTCGACCAGGGGCACTCGATTAGGGACATCTTTACCGATTATAGGATCGCCGCGGCGTTTGGCAGCATCGACACCAAGGGGCTCCGCAGGGCCTACTGGGAGCAAGAGTCTCATGAGCTTCTACGCCCTCCTGCTGTACCTGGGGCTCCTCCCCCACCGGTTCCTGAGCCTCAAGATTACGTCTGCGAGTGGCCTAATGAGACGGGGGGGCCCTGCAATATGGTATTCGAGTCTCGTGGCGCTCTCAGGGCCCATCTATGCCATCATCCCGCCCATAAAGCTCGAGTGCCCGTCCATCAGTTAGTAGTGACTAACCAGTGCTTCTATTGCTCCTCGACGTTCTCCTCGGATGTTCTCGCTCGGAGGCGCGCGAACCAGTCCCTTGAGCTTAAGCGCTGCCTGGCCGACTTCAGCCCGTGCTCCCCTGCCCTCGAGGCCCCCGAGGTCCTGACCTGTCCCGCGCGCGTTGATCCTGACAGCGTTCATTCTCGCCATCGCGAGCGTCTTACCGAAGCCGTTCGGGCTCAAGGTGAATGTCAGGCGCTTGCTGCGCTGCAGCAGCGCATGCGAGAAGTGCGCACCCCTCCAGCGCCTGATCTTTACTTCGATGTCGAGTTTGGCAGAGCGGGCCTCGAGTACAGGGACAGAGCAGCGCGCGCAAGAGCTGCGCGGCAGGCAAGGCCAGGGCGATCGGACACGCAGCGGAGAGCGAGGCGCAGGGCGATGTCGGGGACAAGGAGCAGCTCGCTCGGCAGCCGCCCCCGCCGCGGGCGGCCTCGGAGCATCGGCTGCGCAGCCTGGCGGCGCTGCAGGTCAGCGTGCGGCGCCACCAGGAGGGCGCGACGTACTGACGCTGGCGGACAACCACTATGGCTTGGTGCCCGCAGACGTGCAGCGACTCGAACACATGCCGATCGAGTGGATCCAAGCCACCTACCATGTGCTCATGCGCCTAGCGCTGCGCCGCGAGCTCTCCATCAACCACCTCGAGGCGGCGGCGTACAGGCGCGTGCAGATGCCGAGCAAGCACGAGGTAGTCTTGTCGATGCAGTTGACAGCGAAGTTTTACGGCCAGGAAGCGGCGACGCTTCGCCAAGAGCACGCACAGCAGATCCAGGCAGGCCAGGTGGTGGCAGAGCTCGAGGAAGTGGCGATTCCTCACCCTCACGTCTTCCTGGCCCTGCTCGGAGCTCTGCTGGCTCAAGGGGGGGGAGAAAGGCCAGCTCAACCACGCGGCCCTGAAGGAGTACGAGCGGCAGAACAAGCAAGAGAAACCAGACAACTCCAAGCTGGCCGACAATATCCTCCACTGCCGCATGCAGACCACCCACTCGGGCGAGTTCGTGAAGGTGCGGCTCGCCGTAGAGCCGAAGCAGATCGAGCAAGTGTTAGTCGACTCCCTCGCCCAGCTCGGAGGCAAGCACACGCGCGGCGTCCCTCCCAGGAGCCACGGTGCGAGGGTGATGCAGATACATCTCGACGGACTCGACAACCTGTGAGAAGGGCTGCGCAGGCGAGGTCATCGACAGAGGTGACCCAGGCCCCAGTGGTACACCAATCGGAGGAAGAAGCGGCCCGCATTCGAGCTATCTCAGCTAGGTTTTTGATGGCAGCATCTGCGCCCCCCTTGGGGGAAGGACACGGTATGCCGTCGACTCCCTCCTCGGCCTCATCCCCCTCGAGGGCGAGCGCGGGTTCTCAGATTGGCTCGACGGCTTCCCTGATTGCACCTGCGAGTTCGGTCGCGGCCAGAGCGAGTGCGATTGGGGCTGCTCCCTCTGCGCCGAGCGAGTCGAGAACTTCAGCGGACCCCTCCTTTATGTCCTCAGCTAGGCCGCCGAATCTGCCCTCCTCCTCCCTGTCCTCCAGTCAGAACCTCCCTCTTAGCAGAGCCGTAGGTCTCCTCGGGCTGGCCCCCAGGCCGAAGTAAGTTTTTGTTTTCCTCTCGGACCCTGGGGCCGCCCGAGCTTTCGCGTTTGAATATTGTCGATGCCTTAGGGAGTTTCGAGCCCGATTTAGGGCGGTCCCCGCCTCCTTCCAGCCCAACGCGTTGGCGGGAGGGTAGAGCTTCGCATTCTCCCTGCACCCAATTTTGCCCCTGCCCTTCGGCCCTACCGTCTTTAAAACGTTGGCAACCCAGCCGTGGAAGGGGGTGGGTGGGAGCTCTGTGCCACGAGGCCACGCGTGGACCTCTTAATGTTGGGGCCATGGCGCACTCTAGATGTGATTGTCAGTCAACCCGCCGAATGTTCCGAGCTTGTTTAGTCGGTATTGTGGGCGAGACCCGTGCTGGCGCACCTCTGCAGAGTCGTTCGTTCGTTCGTTCTCGTTCCCTCCCTCCTCCTCGTTTATCTTCCCTGGAGCGGAGCTTCATGGTGCGCTCGTCTCCTCTCTGTCATCTTCCTCCTCGTCCTCCCCCTCACATCGCCTCTGTTCCTTCTCGTTGTCCTCGTTCTCTTCCGTGTCCTCCTCTTCTTCCTCCTTCTTCTCGTCCTTCTCCTCGTTTCGCCTCTTCTTTCCTTCCTCCCTCCCTCTTTTCTTCCCCTCCTCATCCAGCGGCGACGGCGGTGGCCATCGCCGCGCCCCCTGCTGCCACCACCCTGGCACCCGGCCTCCCGTTGAGCAGACTCGGTCGCCATTGCTGCGTTTGGGCGCGGAGGCGGCGGCCCGAGACGAACCGCTCATTCACAGGAGGAAAACGCACCGATGCCGTTATCATTCCTTTGTTTTCGCCCCGCCATTTCTGGGCCTCTTGGAAAGCCTCGAAAGTCTGGTCAACATGCACCCCGAGACAGGATGGGGAGTAGCGGTAATCTCGTGGTTTCCCCAGAGACGGGCGGCGCACACCAGGCGGCGCACCAGCGCTGACCACGTCGCGTGTGGCTGCGAGCTGACGGGGCCGTCCGCGCCAGCGCGACCAGGTCGGAATTATTCCGCCTCGGAGTGCCACCTTTTCCTTTTTCCTCCGTGGCCCACTTGTCCGTCATGTCCCTTCTCCTGCACGCTGGCCAATTCGCTTCCCGGTGCGCCCGTTTACCTCTATCGTTGGTGCAACCATTCTGCCTCGCCGCCGACGGAAAAGCGCGTGGCTGCGAGCCCCCTGCTCCGCCGAACCACCCGCTGCGACACCCCGCCGCGGAGGGGGGAGGGCGCGCCAGAGGAACCCGCCAAGCTTGGAGGTCGCTTGGGTGCGCCTGGCGATGTGGCCCGAACGTCCATCGTGGGCCGAAAACATATTCGTGTCCGCGGCCTCACGCGCCGGGCCCCTGGGCCGCCATCCCGCGGACACGGGACGTTTTTTAGCGGATGCCCCGCTCATCCGCGGGATCGCTTGCCGGAATCCAGACCGCGAGGGCGCGGATGCGGGTAGAATGGCCGCTCGCGAATCCCCGCTTGCGCAAGGGGGCTGGCCATCTCAGGAGGGCATCTCGGGCTGCACTGGCCGCAGGTCCACCATATAGTTTGTTCTTGGTGGTGCAGCCATCAGGACCCAAGCGCAGCCCTCTGAGTGAACTTGGGGCCTCCCGGCGAGATGAGGGCCGAGAGTTTCTCGCGATTTTCACCACGCAGCACAAACGTCAGAAAACGAAAGGATACCCATACCGCTACCCTTACATCGTGTTTGCTTTTTGGGGCCTCCTGGGAGTCCATCGTCGCCACCGCTGAATTTGCTTCAACATTCTGGTCGGAACGCACCCCAGGAGAGGTCCGGGGAGTAGCGGTATCCGTGTATGTTGATTCACCCAAAACGGACGGGCGCCATATTTCCAATTCCCAGCGTGGCAGCGCATCGCCGAGGCGGCCTGGTGGAGATCTCGCCGAGCCCGAGCTCCCCTCCACGTTCGTCACACTCGCGTAGCCTGCAGTCGGCCATGCAGGCCTCTTGCCCCCCCCGCCCGGCGAGCGGCTTGATGGGCAATGCCTTCGAGCACCTTGAGGCGCGCCGAAGCCTCGGCCAACCGCGGGCATCGAAAGTGGAGAGTACCATCAAAGTCTGGCCCGAGGCGCATCCCAACGCGTAATTACGTGCGGAGGCGCTTTGCTTTCCCCTCTTCGTCTGATGACTCGTCTCGGTCACGTCCTCCTCTCGCACTCTGTCTCTTCTTCTTCTCTCTCTCACTCTTCCCGTCCTCTCCCCCGTTCATTTTCCCATTCGGTTTCCTCCTCCCCTTCCCTTGTCTCCCCTTGCAATTCCTATTCCCCCTCCCCTTTCCCGATGAAGTTTCCTGTCCGTGTGCCTGGCCCTCTTCCCGTCCCGTGCCCCTCCCTCGTTATCCTTCTCGTTCTTGTTTCCCTCTCGCCTAATCCTCTTCTTTCTCTTGTTCTTCGTTCTCTTCTCCGCCCCCGCTCGTCGTCGCCGCAGCAGTCGTCATCATCATCGTCAGTCGTCGTTGTCTTCCTCCTCCCCCTCCTCCTCCTCCTCCTCCTCCTCCTCCTCCTCCTCCTCCTCCTCCTCCTCTTGCTCGTGTTCTCCTGCTCGTTGTGGCGCTCTGTTCTCTTACGTGTGCGGGGCTCGCTCGCGGGCGGGAGGAAAATGGCCGCAATGGCAGCCGCTGCGTGGCGTGGATGTGCACGCTCCAACGCTTGCCCTTAAGTGCTGCGGTGGCACACATTCCCTGTTGGGGAAAAAGGGTTCCAGAATGCGTTTGTGCGGGGGGGGGCGCCCAACCCCTAAAGCGGCCTGTTACGCTGGACGCGCGTGGACGGGGGGGGGGGTCTGATCCCCCCGCCCTGGATGAGGATAATGATGGTGTTGGCGATGACAATTGAATGATGCTGGCGATGCATCAAATGTTGGTGACGGTGAGTGTGACGACGACCGTTGACGGTGAGCATGTTGTTGATGTTGTTTATTATGGTGATGGTAGTGGCGACGGCAAGTACCATATCCATAGAGCTACTGACGGCGGTGGGAGTGACTCGAACACACATGCAAGTGATGGCGGGAATGGTGTTGATGATCGTTAGCGTAGTGACCCCACAACCAATCCATGGAGCATCAGTGCTTCCAGCCTCATTTCGCCTCAAGTGGGTGAGTGGGTGGCCTTTGCTCCTCCCGCCAATCCCAAAAAATGATCAGGAGGATGGGGAGGACCAGTGGGAATATGGACCAGGAGGAGGACGAGGAAGAGGAGGCGGACATAGGATACAGGAGAAGGGTGATGGTGATGACAGAGCAAGGACAAGAGGACGAGGGATGAGGAGGGAGGAGGGAGGCAGAAGCGGATGAGGACGAGGGGAGAGGAGGGAGGAGGAAGAAGGAGGGATGAGGGAGGGCGATGAGAACGAGACAGGGAGGTGGGGGGGGGAGGCGGAGGGGATGACCATGTCGAAGGTGGCGGCGGAGATTGGCGACGGGCGCCCGCCCGGAAGGTGGACCGCGACAGCAGGCCCCGGGCCACGCGGGGGCGCAGCGCCCAGCAGGTATACCTGGCCGGCCTCCCTCGAGCAGCAGGTAGGTTCTTCTGGCCCTCCGGAGGAGGAGGAGGACGAGGACGGATAGGATCCAAATGGGTATGAAAGAATATTGACGAAGATGGGCAGCAGTTCCTGTCCATTTTGAACCAGATTCGCTGTCAGCGTCGCCGCGGACGATATTCACTTGAGACAGAGGGGCTCCTCCCGCCCAACAGCGGCCGCTGTTGGTTTGGGACAACATTCGCTATTGGCACCTGGGCATCGTGCCCATTTCTTTCCATACCCTTCTCGGGCGTCCACGGAAGCCCCAGATATCCGACGATACTGTTGTTCAAGCATCGTTCCTTTCTCCGACGTCGGCCTTCGGACGCCGCATCTGGGCCCCGGGGCCCTCAAGCGTGGCTCCAGGACGAAGAACCTTCTCAGGGGAAGCGGTCGGGATCTTGGGCCGCGGATCGAAGAAGACCACATCGGTGTATGACAGTGTATGTCGGGGGCTTCGGCATGAAGATTCGAAGACAACGAAGGGGTCTAAGATTTTGCGGCTTTGTCCGCCCATTTGTGGGTTTCCGGTTGGCGTCTCGTCTCCACGGCTGGATTTCCTTTCGGCCCGGGGGATCGGAAAGGGGATGTGAGGACTGGGGATGAAGGATGAAGAGTGCCAGCAATTCTTGCCAATTTGGGTACGGACTCGCTGTCGGTGCCGCAACGAACCGTGTCGTCCATCTGACACCAGCGTCGCCTGTCCAACAGGGGGCCGCCGCAGTCGGATCAGGGCAGCATTCCTTGTCGGGAGTCGTGCCTTCTTCTCCCCATCCACTCTCGGCGTGCCATCCGAGATTCTGGTCCACGCGCACCCGGGGGGCCTAGGGTCCAGAGCCGCCACAGGGAAACGGGGTCCTGGAGGAACGGTACCCAGGAGAGTTCTGCGCGTTCTTGGCAACAGCAACATGGAGCAAAACGATGTCCAGGGGAAAACCCTGGGGTTCGGGGCCAGTTTCAACCATG